GTGTTTTCCGTAAAACCACAGTCAGAAAGTTTCAGAATGAAGTTTTTGGTTTTATATATAAAACTATTGTAAACTTACCGTGGCTTTCTATATCTTTTAAAAGAAATAGTTTGAAAAAAAATTATCAAACACACATATATCTAAAAATACTGTGTGGCTACACAAAAAAACTTCTAACAACAATCCCAAATGCTCCCTTGATCTGTCAACTTTAAGGTTTTATGCAATTTTCATCCTTCAACTTTTTTATGCTTTTTTATAGTCCTTTAGCTATGAAAAATGCACTTTTTAGTCCTTCCCAAATGTGTATATATTAGAAGTTGTGGAATTAAAAATGTGTAAATTCAAATAGGTTTAACAGATTAATTAACAAAGAACTAATAAAGTGCATTTTTTATAATTAAAAGCAAAAAAGTGCATTTAAAAGTTAAAAGATAAAAATTGTGTAATACTTTAAAATTAATGAACCAAAATTGATATTTAACCTAAATATTAACCAAATACCAATTAACTAATTACAATTAATATTTTTTTTATATTTTTATAACAATAAATACAGAAACCTACCACACTGCACGGACATTTGACAAATGAAACTGAATGGATACACTACAATACCCAAATATTATAGCCCGCTTGAAATTTAACAAGTTAATTTCAACGAGTAAAAACCATTTACATAAAACATAAATCCTAATAATACCTTAACCATCCAAACAACAAAAACACTCTTAATACAAAAAATATAAACTAGTTTATATAAAGTTTTATACAATCTAATTTGATGTTGACTGCACAACACTCCCTGAATAAATTATTTGATATTAAATATAACTAGATCAGCTGTATTCACAATCAACAAATGGTGGATAACTGCCATTCATATGTGTGGTCCCAGTGACCACGCTTCACATTGAGAAGCAAAGTGAGGACATTTTTTATGATATGCAGTTTAAATCTTAGGTGTGATACTTTTCGCTCTCTTGAAGTAGGTATTAATATTATCAATATAATTATAAGTTTTAAAAATAAAAGAAAAAAATGATAGTATTTGAGTTTTTGGATATAGTGACGTCAGGTTACGTATAAGTGCATTTCCTCATTCTTAAGTCAACTGTTCGAATCCAACTTATTACAAATTTGTTAAAAAAAAAAAAATTGATATATGGCTGTGCGTGTAAATTAAATGGCCGTACACCTCGCCAAGATCAAAAGAAGCTAAAAAAGTTGACATAATTTGATGTTGACTGCACAACACTCCCTTGAATAAATTATTTGATGTTAAATATAACTAGATCAGCTGTATTCACAATCAACAAATGGTAGATAACTGTCATTCATACGTGTGGTCTCAGTGACCACGCTTCACATTGAGAAGCAAAGTGAGGACATTTCTTATGATATGCAGTTTAAATCTTAGGTGTGATACTTTCCGTTTTCTTGAAGTAGATATTAATATTATCAATACAATTATGACTTTGAAAAATAAAAGAAAAAAAAAATGATATATGGCTGTGCGTGTAAATTAAATGTCCATACTCCTCGCAAAGATCAAAAGAAGCTGAAAAAGTAGACATAAACTAACAAAGAATTCAACTTGGACTGACTAATCAGAGTCATTTCCCGAGTCTATGTTCATTGCCTGAGGGTTTTTGTAGCCGTTAATCTCATCCTTATATCGTAATTTGTCTGCTCTAGCCTTTGCTTCATATGGTTCTTTCTCTTCCGCTGCACATGGTATGAATACGGTCATTTAAATCAAATGGAGCTCAATTTTCTGTTTAAAGTTGAAAAAGACAAGTGATGAAGACAAACATACCCGACATCTTTTTCCATTTCTCCCCAAGTGCTTTGCCGACATCCGTGAAAGAAATTCCAGGATTGGTTCTCTTCACATTCTGTAACAAGGTGACAACCAAATTAGTGAAGTCATGACTTGAACCTTCATTTCTAATCATCATGAGTTCTGCCAAGTTAAGCCACTACAAAAGCTCAAGCAAGTTTTACCTGAATCCCCCACCCCTTTTTCTTTTCAAGTTCCAAGACAATACTTAACAAAATTCAAGAATTTGAGATTAGCACATGATGGTGCATATCCCAAGCCTCTTACCTACCCAATTCTTACAAATCATTTTCTTCTTTCGACCACAATATTTTTCCTTTTATTTCTCAGCTTCTTCCCAAGGTTCATAGTGATAAAAACTATCGACAAAATATTTGCCATATGCTGCATCGCCCTAGTTAACCCAAGTAACTAGGTAACTGCATCTATTTTTATTAAATCCAGCAAAACTATTATATGTGAGGATGATAAGAATATAGAACACGAGGCCTACCTCTCTTTCCATTTGTGAGAAAAACATGAAACCAGACATAGCCCTCTTTGGTGCATATTTGGATCTTTCTTCCTTTTCTGTTTTTTCTTCTTGCCATCATCTTCTCCTTCTCTCGATTTCTTTTTAGATGCCTTAGAAGATGAAGGCTCCTTCCTAGGATCCTTTTTGACAGGCTTCTGCAGTTAGGCATTTGTTTTACTTCAAATCAGGAATTCAAGATTATAATTGTTTAGAAATATATCTTTACATGCATTAATCAAAATCAATAATGAGGGCAAAAAAAACTACTTGCCTCTTTCTCATCCCCACTTAAACTGGCATCAGATCCCTCCTCCCCAGAATCATCAGTTGGAGAGCCTCCATCATCCTTGTCAACAACAAAATCTTCATCCTGCAGAAACATCACCATCTTTATAAAATCAAGAAAAAGATACATAGGAGCCAGGTGAACCCAAAATTTACAAAACAAAAACATGAACAATTAGCAGAAGTAGAATAGATGGATGCCTGCTCGCAAGCTAAACAAGTTGGGAATGTTTACCATGATGTTAGAGATCTTTTCTTTTTGGCAACTACTCCAAAGTAAAACATCAATACATACTTTGTGAACTTAACTTTTTGCAAATGTTTAGAGACATAAAAATCATAAAATTATGTGAAGATTACTTGTCCGCATGGCTGAGCAAGGTTGTTTGTTAATCAAATAAATATTAAACACTATAGTTAATCTACCACTGGAAAAAGAGTTGAAGTAGATTAGTAAACAATTCACCTCCTCATCACTCTCATCCCCACCAGCTTCATTCCTTATTCTCTCAAGATGTGGGTCAACAGCATCATCTTCCTCAGTCTGAAGAATTTTAGCCACACCATCCCCGGTTCGCTCATCTCCCAGATTCATTATTTTCAGACCCTTTGAACTGCATGTATGGCATGAGATCAGTAACTAAATAGAGAGCCCAAAGATCCTATCCAAACAAGGAAAATGAAATGAAGCTTAGCCCAAAGATCCCATGCAAACAAGGAGAGGGAAATGAAACTTACCTTATAAAGTTAAAAAGATTGTGGTATTCATTCCTCTGAATGTTCCGAAAGAGATGTTCTTGTTCAGTCTTTAATCTTATAAGAAGATCAAAGTAATGCATATTTGAGCCACCAGCTGCATGCCTCTCAAACTCAACATAGTCAATCTGGCAAGTTAATGCATTATAATATAAAGAAGGTTATTTTTTAGATCACATCCATCATTGACATTTAATATCACTAAATCAATATATAGGTTTTGTAGTTTTACCTCCTCATGAAGAATGAGTGTTGGAGGTTTGGGAAGAAAGAACAAGCTCTTCTCAAGTGGATACAGCACTCCATCTTCAGCCTTCAGTGAGGACTTCACTGCATAACCATCCGAAAAGCTACGGAATTTACCCGGTTTTGTAACTTTGGCACCAGATAGACCCCGCAGAATTGTGGTGAACACTTCATGAATAAGCCCCTGTTTGTTTAAATCATCACCAAAAAGGAGCATGTAAATTTAGTACACAACTTAGAAGACAAGGTCCATCAAGCACTTTTAGATAGACTAAAAAACAAAACCCAAAATGGAAAGAGATTATTGCCTTATAAGATGGTTCTAGTTTGTCCTTGTATTTTGTGTTCAACAGATCATCACTCATTGACAATTCACTTTGAACAACATAGTCAGTTTCAAACTGCAAAAGGGGCCAAGGAGCAGATAAGCACATACCATTAATAAAATTCAACTAGTGAAGAAAAGTACAATGTGAATAGGCACACCTGCAAGACAATATGTGGGTATAATGTTTGCCCTTTACGAATGGGTGGATCCAGTGTAACTACAACAAAAGTATGCGGCTGATTAGCCTGTTCAACCACATAACAGAAAACAGAACATGTCAACAGACTAACACACAAAGATCAAGAAAATTCTCTTTGTCAGTAAAGTTTGT